CTATTAGATTTATCTACTTAGATAAGTGTAGGTAGTTTACTACATAGTCTATTAGATTTATCTACTTAGATAAGTGTAGGTAGTTTACTACATAGTCTATTAGATTTATCTACTTAGATAAGTGTAGGTAGTTTACTACATAGTCTATTAGATTTATTTATTTAGATAAGTGTAGGTAGTTTACTACATAGTCTATTAGATTTATCTACTTAGATAAGTGTAGGTAGTTTACTACATAGTCTAATAATAAAATATTAAAATACTAATAATAATCTATATTATATATTAGAACCCTTGCTTGAATAGAAAGTTAATAAACAAAGTCAAACTTTATAACTTTTTATCTATTACTAGTTTAGGAAAAAAGTGACAATTAATGTGATGTTTTTAGGTTTGATTGGTAGTTGTACAAACAGCAGCTATGAAGACATGGCTCGATCTGCCAGCGTAGCACAGCAAGCCCTAGACCACGGTCTAAAAGCTAAGTCACAGTTCACAGTCACTCCTGGATCCGAACAGATTCGTGCTACCATTGAACGTGATGGCCAAGTAGGTTGATTAATTAACCCTTAAGTTACTTCAGAATTTTCTTTTCTTTTATAAATCTATAGATATACTAAATTCAGGTAGTTATATTTAAGGTTTTAGTACAATGACTATAGATAATTAATATCTGTGTCAAGTATTCTTCTATTTCATTATTGTGTATAGAATTATGTTTTAGTACAATGACTATAGATAATTAATATCTGTGTCAAGTATTCTTCTATTTCATTATTGTGTGTAGAATTATGTTTTAGTACAATGACTATAGATAATTAATATCTGTGTCAAGTATTCTTCTATTTCATTATTTTGTATAGAATTACATTTTAGTACAATGACTATAGATAATTAATATCTGTGTTAAGTATTCTTCTATTTCGTTATTGTGTGTAGAATTATGTTTTAGTACAATGACTATAGATAATTAATATCTGTGTCAAGTATTCTTCTATTTCATTATTGTGTATAGAATTATGTTTTAGTACAATGACTATAGATAATTAATATCTGTGTTAAGTATTCTTGTATTTCATTATTGTGTATAGAATTACGTTTTAGTACAATGACTATAGATAGTTAATATCTGTGTCAAGTATTCTTCTATTTCATTATTGTGTATAGAATTATGTTTTAGTACAATGACTGTAGATAATTAATATCTGTGTTAAGTATTCTTCTGTTTCATTATTGTGTGTAGAATTATGTTTTAGTACAATGACTACAGATAATTAATATCTGTGTTAAGTATTCTTCTATTTCATTATTGTGTGTAGAATTATGTTTTAGTACAATGACTATAGATAATTAATATCTGTGTTAAGTATTCTTCTATTTCGTTATTGTGTATAGAATACCAATATTCTTGTGTATACCAAGAATAATTTGTTTAATTAACTGTTAATCTCAGATTTCGTTTGTGTAATTTCAATGTTTAAAATATAAAGAGGTTTGTCTGATTGCATACACGGGATGTCCTTATAAGCACTGTTACTATAAAACATTTGACTTTCCAGGTTTGTCTAATTGCATACACGGGATGTCCTTATAAGCACTGTTACTATAATACATTTGACTTTGAAGGTTTGTCTAATTGCATACACGGGATGTCCTTATAAGCACTGTTACTATAATACATTTGACTTTCAAGGTTTGTCTAATTGCATACACGGGATGTCCTTAGTAAGCACTGTTATTATAATACATTTGACTTTCAAGGTTTGTCTAATTGCATACACGGGATGTCCTTATAAGCACTGTTACTATAATACATTTGACTTTCATTGCAAAGTTATCCATATCTATTTTATAAGTTACAATAAAATATTTAAAAGACGTTATTATTCCACTTCTGTTATTAAATTATGGTGCTGATTACATCTTTGATGTGATGACTTAATTAATATCATTTGTTGCTTTAAATTTAACAAATATTGAAGTGTGTGTATATTTTCTTACATGAATTTGTTTTGCCACAAACTTGAATGTAATTGGTTATGGTTTTAGGCCAAAGTGTTGAGAGAATTTGGAGGTGTTGTACTAGCCAATGCTTGTGGACCTTGCATAGGACAGTGGGATAGGTACGTGATCTTATTAAACTCATCCCGTATGTTTGTGTGTGTTCTCGTAATAATGACTTCTGTTAGGAGGTCCAGAAACAGAAGATTTAACCAATTAAAACAGTACTTCTTTTTAAATGTCATTACAGTGTAGCTCATTTGTGCTTTATCTTACTGATGTTGTGTTGTTTTTATAAAGAAAAAAATATGTTAAGATAACCAATCATTTAGTTTAGAAGTAATGTCATTGTATCATCAGTTATTGTATAACTTAAGGACTT